GTAAATATAACACAAACCGGCAGAATGACAGACTTCCCTGAAAAACTCACATTATAGTGTCACTAATTTTCCACAGTGAGACGCAAAGATGTTGTTTGTGTGAAGAATTCTGGAATCCTTGGAGAATAGTGATGTAAAGGCGTCACATATGTCAGGCAGCTGTTAACCAGATACAGTAAGCCGAGCTGTCGGATGAAAGTGTCGACAGACAGATGCAGACGATGCTGTGATGTCTCGTTTCAGCAGTGGACACATGGACAAATTACAGTGTGAATCTGGACTTTGTGTTACCGGTGCTGTATTAAAGACAAAATTAAAGTGACTTCATGTTTGTTTGTGTTTATAGTGGAACAAGCTGATAGTTAAAGGAATTGTTCACCAAAAATGAAAATTGGCTGAAAATGTCCTCATCCTCAGGCCATCCAAGATTAGGATGAGTTTGTTTCTTCATCAAATTTGGAGAAATGTAGCATTGCATCACTTGCTCACCAATGGATGCTCTGCAGTGAATGGGTGCCGTCAGAATGAGAGTCCAAACAGCTGATAAAAACATCACAATAATCCACAAGTAATCCACTCCAGTCCATCAGTTAACGTCTGGAGAAGACAAACGCTGCATGTTTGTAAGAAACAAATCCATCATTATATTTTAACTTTAAACCATTGCTTAAAGACTCTTAAACTTGTTCTTGGCAGAGATACGAACCAAGTAACACCACAAATGATAATTCATTGCTAATGCTGATGTCTGTGATGTTGATTTCCCTCCAACATGATGTCACTTCCTGGAGGATGATGTCATTTTGTTCATATTTTCATAGTTAATGGGGTTTTACTTTTTTTGTATTCTTTTATCCATATGTTGTAAGTTATGTTTGTGCATCTTTCATAAATGATCAATTAAAAGAATAAATAAATAAAGAGAATATAAAAGGGAACCAGATGGAATATTACAACATTTTAGAAAATTATTAATTAAATCAATATTACCAAGAAGAAAAACAACAACAACAAAGAAGAAACACCTGGATATTGTTTAATAAATTGACAGTTTTTAATTGTAGAAGCTGACACAATGAACAACTATGCTCAAGCCAAAGTACTGGTTATTAGTAATAATATGACTTACATGGTGAGTTTAATATTTTATTCAATATAATAAAGCCTGAAAATGTACAAATGAGCTGTGACATCTGAAGTGTTTTTTTTTAATTTATGTTAAAGTCAGTAAATGATCATTTGACTGTTAAAGGTAACTCAGAGCAGAGTAAAACCCCTCTGAACTGCAGACGCGCGCGCGTGTGTGTGTGTGTGTGTGTGTGTGTGTGTGTGTGTGAGAGAGAGGTGGGTTCACCCGAGGCTCTGTGAACAGTAATGAACTCCTCCACATGTGGGAATTCTGACACTAGTTCTCGCTCACCATTTTTCAGGACCATTTGTTTAATTAAAAGAGCACTTTTTCAAGAAATTAATTGTCGGCTTCTGCCTCTGGCTCCACTCTCACACGGGCTGTGCTGTGATGACATTCAGCCCACGGCTCTGTGTGTGTGTGTGTGTGTGAAGAGCAACTCTCTTCCTACAGTGAGCTTCCTACAAACTTAGCTGTATAAGTCATTTCAACTTAAATTATATTAAACTTGTTTTAAAAAAGTTGACAAGCACATACAGTGTGAAGCCAAAATGCATACAGACCCTCAAATACTTTTACCATGTTTTTTTCCCACCATGTTTTCTGGGTGCTGATAAAACTATGGTATTCTTTGAAGTTTGAAGTAAATAGTATGGTATGAGGATATGAAAATCATTCAGCATATATTAAAGTAAGATACCATGTTTTTGAAGCATTTTAGAGTAGTCTACTGTGTGAATACCCTGGTAACTGAATTTGGTCATCTTGCAGTATCATGTTTTTTCAGTAAACTTGGACACTTGTGCACAAAACAACAACAACAACAAACAAACAAAACCAACAAACAAGAAAAGAACAACGTATTCCTGATTTTACATCAAAACATGGAATACAAACATTACAAACCTGTAATAATTAAAGAGTATAACAACTGTCCCCACACTGTATATACATCTTTAAAATGTTCAAATATGCATTTATTCAACAATTAACGTATCAAACCAATCATCTTAAAAAAGACAGATAGGCTATTATACAGCAACGCGTGTGACCTATTGAAATGAATGTAATTCCCAGTTATTAAATATTTAACTCTGATTACTATGAGAATTTGATTACTACATTTGCTCCAGTGATGAAATCTGTTAACTTTCATGAAATATGAATATTATATTTAATCAGTGATTTTTTTTTGTTTTGGTCAATCGGTTAAATAAAAAAATAAAATAAAAAATACTGCTATGTTGTATAAATGCCTCACATTTTAATTTTTAATTAACAATTTAATTGTAATTATTTTTAAGCAAAATATGAATAATATATGGTAATATCTTTGATTTTGGCATGAAATATGTCCTGGACATTATTTTCTCCTCCTTGCAGTGTCATTGACAGTGAAGGACAGAAAACACTTTCACTTCATTTTAATTGCTTTTGCAGGGTTTGACAATACGAGTCATTTCAGAACGAACCTCCACACACACAGACGATCCTCCACTGACCTGTCCTACTTATCCTGTCTCATAGAAAGTTGAATTCAAATTACCAGTGTAAATTAAATTTTTTGATATGTAAAGCATTGCCCTGCATACTAATATGATATTATATTTTTATACAATAAAGTTCATGATACAGTAATTAAAGGAGGCTACCATCTTTTTAACAGACAGGAACATGTTGTAGATGTAATCATGGTTTCTGTACAATAGAGGGAATGACTAAACTGCATTATTTTTTATTTTTTTTAACAAGGGCCAAATTTGAACCCTTATTATTTAAAAAAAATTACATCAAATATTGACTTTCTTTTTTCTTGTTCTGTTTTTCACAAACTATGACACAAACAAGATCACACACACACAGGCTCTGGTGAGTTTTTTTTTTTTAATGATATTTGACATTTTTAATGTAATTGTGTTCATAGTTCATGTATCATATGTTATTTTCTCCATCACAAATTGTGAAATTGAAAATAATGTGAAACACTGAGAGCAGATGTGTGGCTTTATTGGGACTTGAGCAGAACTAATGGAGAGTCCTCTGATGTTACACTGTCATCTAGAGGCAGCAGTGAGAAGAACATCAAAGATTTAAAGGGATAGTTCACCCAAAAATGAACCTTCTGTCATTATATAGTCCAAACCTGCATGACTTTTGTCCATACGATGAAAGCCAATGAGGTCCAGTGTTCTTCAAAACATCTTTTGTGCTCCACAGAATAAAGAAAGTCATACAGGTTTGGAACAATATGATGAGAATTTCCCACTTTCCCTAGAAAGCATTGCCTTTTCTCTATCGGCGTGGCCTCTTTAAAGGGGTCATATGATGCTTTTTTAAAGATCATTATTTTTGCAGCTTCAACTGTAATTCTTCATTTACAGCAGCATATTTTGACGAGGTCATTAACAGTGTCGCAGTGTGAATGAGTGTTAAGGCCTCTGTTTCGCACCTCACTCGACTCTTACATTTCATACCATTATTTCTCATCACTGCAGGTGAACGTGTGAAAACAGAACAAGTGGCTTTTATGATTCTTTTCTTCATGAGCTGCTGCTCCACATGATGAATGTTAGAGGAATCAGACATCATAATGCATGCCGTTCTCCTTACAGTGTAGTCGTGTTATTTTGGTATCATTCATACAGTACACTATTATCATTTTTATTAATAATGTGAATTAGTTTTTATTTTTATATTTTCTGTTTTCATTTTAATTCTAGCTAGTTTTAGTAACTGGATTTTGTTTTTGTCGTTTTTATTACTTTTTTTTATTTCTGTTTTGGTATTATTTGTTTCAAAGGAATAGTTCACCCAAAAATAAAACGAAATAAACCTTAAAATGTGCTCACCCTCAGGCCATCCAAGATTAGGATGAGTTTGTTTCTTCATCAGATTTGGAGAAATGTAGCATTGCATCACTTGATGTTTTCAACTTCAAACCAGTGCTTTCACAGCTGAAATACGAGTCCATAATCCATAATACCGCTTCCTCCAGTGAAAAAGTCCATCTCCTGTTGTCTTTCACATCAAAATGTACCCACATATATGTTTAGAACTGTTTTGGCTTGTAAACCAAGACCAGATGACTTTTTCACTGGAGGAAGCGTTATTATGGATTATGGACTTGTATTTCAGCTGAAAGCAACAGTTTGAAGTTAAAAACTTCTTAAAGATGGGATTTGTTTCTTACAAACACACAGCTTTTGGCTCCACAAGACATTAACTGATGGACTGGAGTGGTGTGGATTACTTGTGGATTATTGTGATGTTTTTATCAGCTGTTTGGACTCTCATTCTGACGGCACGCATTCACTGCAGAG